GAGGAAGCCCCCGAAGTCGAAGTTCACGGCTGGACCGCATTCCACGCGCGCACTGGAAAGACGCACGCTGAAATGCAAGGCGCGCGCGTGAGATCCGCGGAAAGGCTCGAGACAGCGCGCGAATTTCGGGTCCGGGGGGGAGCGGGGGGCGGGAGGGGGCGGGGAACCCTGGCGATTGAGGAGGAAGGGGAGGATGCAAAGGAGGCGCCTTGCGATGGGGGCGGGGGGGGGGCAGGAGAGGGCAGGAAACCATAGAGATTGATGGGGGAGGGGGAGAAAGCAAAGGAGGAGCCTTGCGCTGGCCTCGATTGCACGCTTTCGCTTGTTCCGATTCGTGCGAGCGCTTCGTTGGCCTCAGTGCCAAGCAGCCTTTCGGCCGATCCCGCCACCTTGCCGGGGCTGTTGGTATGAAAATTCGGGAATGTCCGTTGGGATCTCGATGGGGCGCTTCTCGCGGGCTTCGGGGAACCACATTGGAAGACTTTTGGGGGCCGGTGTGGGGTCTGAATTGATCCTGTGGTGGGGTTATTATTGTTTTTGATTGGCTGTTGGGCGCATCTTGGGGCCTATTGGGGGCATCGTTGCGGAAAATTTGAATTCTGGGTTCGAGGTGCCCTTTTTGGGCCTCTCTTGGAACCGTCTTGGGGCACGCTGGGGCCGTCTTGGGCGCCTCTGGGGCCGTCATGGCGCCCTCTTGGGCCATCATGGGGCTCTCTTGGGAGTCTCTTTGGCCCTCTTGGGGCGGTATTGGCGGCCTCGTGGGCCGTTGTCATCGCCATGAAGGAGGACAAGTCGTACATGCCAAAATCATGCGCTTTCCCACAGGAGTCGACCGATGTTGGCTTCTTGGGCCTCTCTTCGCTAGCCTGTTGGAGGCGTCTTGGAGCGTGTTGGCGGCTTCGTGGGCCGTCTTGGGCCCATGTTGGGCATCTTCAAGCGAGCATTTGGCGATGTTGTGCTCTCTCGGGCCATCTTGGGGGTGTCCTGGGAGGCTCCAGGCCGAGCCTGGGGGCACAGACCGCCCAAGGTGAGTTCAGTCCAGGGTTTATTGTTTTTGGGTGGCTGCTGGGAGCCTCTTGGGGCCTATAGGGGGCATCGTTGGGCCTCCCGGGAGCCTCTTCGAGCGGAAAATTGGAATTCTGGGTTCCAGGTCCACCTCTTGGGCCTCTCTTGGAATCGTCTTGGGGCACGCTGAGGCCGTCTTGGGCGCCTCTGGGGCCGTCATGGCGCCCTCTTGGGCCATCATGGGGCTCTCTTGGGAGTCTCTTTGGCCCTCTTTGGGCGGTATTGGCGGCCTCGTGGGCCGTTGTCATCGCCATGAAGGAGGACAAGTCGTACATGCCAAAATCATACGTTTTCCCACAGGAATCGACCGATGTTGGCTTCTTGGGCCTCTCTTCGCTAGCCTGTTGGAGGCGTCTTGGAGCGTGTTGGCGGCTTCATGGGCTGTCTTGGGCCCATTTTGGGCATCTGCAAGCGAGCATTTGGCGATGTTGTGCTCTCTCGGGCCATCTTGGGGGTGTCCTGGGAGGCTCCAAGCCGAGCCTGTGGAGCCCAGACCGCCCCATATGAGTTCAGTCCGGGGTCGAAGTGGGCGAGGGGGGGGGGTCAAATTGCCAGTTTGGGTTTCCCGGGGGGGGGGGGGTTATGGGGGGGGAACAATCTCACACGCCCGGAGACCCACAAGGGGTCGGCGGATATTTAGAAACGCATTTGGAATTTCAAAGTGAGTGTTCCGCATGGTGTTCCTTTGAAAGGGAGCCATAAGGGGATTTGGCTGGCATGGAATTGTTTGGTACGAAAGACGGGGAAAGCGCGCAGAATACATTTGCACACGCAAGAATCACGAAGGTCAACTGACGGTCAACTGCCACTAAGTCTGGCCTGAGTCGAGCTGAATCCTCTTCAGGAAAAAACATGAGTATGGTGCAAGCTATGTTGCGCACTCTATGTGTGCATCTAAAAACGCCCAGATTCGCCCACGGGCGAGCACCCGACTGAAGCCCAGATCACGCAGCTAGCGCACGAGGCGCCCACCGGCGGGCACCCGCTGAACAGCCGAATGCCCAGGCAGCGCACGAGGCGCCCACGAAGCTCCCTCGGGCGAGCACTTGCCAACAGATCCGAAAGCCGAGCCAGCGCACGAGGCGCGCGCGAAGCGCCCACGGGCGAGCACCTCCACCAAACCCATCAGTGATGAGCCAGCGCACGGGGTGCCCAGGTGCGGGCGGGCACCGGGGCACCGTGCGAAGACTTCGGAAAGCGAGACAGCGCACGGGGCTCTCACGAATCGTCCGCGGGCAGGCACTAGGCGCAAGCCAGGGAATCGCAGCCAACTGATGCTCACACCAAGCAGGAGCCCAATGTGCAAACCCAGTTTGGGGACAAGGGTACGAGGGACTCCTACCTTCTTATTGCCGGAGGCTTCTTCAAGAAGCCTCCAGGATCGCGTGCCGCCACCAGCCCATTCAGCGACCAGTGTCTCGTTGATTTCTTGCGTGGCCCAGCGTACAAAGGTTTAGCTTGTTTTGGTCCAGCGTCGTCTGGGCGCGTGTGGTATTGTTGAATTCGTGTGTGCCGAAATTAGAGTGCTGATCTTTTTCGATGCGCGACCACGTCCCATCTGATTGCGGGCGTCTGGGCGTGCAGAGCTGGCACTTCCAACCAGCAGTTTGTCTCTACCCTGCTCTTTTTCACGCACTCTTCATCGGCCTCCGATTCCCCAGCATCGAAAGTTTCATTGCCTTGTCGAACAGTCAAGATCGGCTTTAGGGATGGGCCAACTTCGCGGGGGCAGCTTGCAATCTTCGGTTCTCCATCCTTAGCACAGTTTCGTCTTCCCCAGCTAAAGGGGACAGTTGCGGGCGCGCGCATCATTGGCTTTTGCGTTGCAGATGTTCCCAGGGCAGCAATGCAAGGATGGGGGATGATTTGGGTACCTTTGGAAATCCTGGCGCAGTCTTGCGCGTTTCGCTTCGGATGGGCGCGTTTCTATGGTCTTGCATCCTAAACCTCCATCCTTATGATTGATGTTGATTGTCAGAGGGAGGTGGCCGAACGGCCTTACACCATCCCTGAGTGCGTGAGTGAAGTGGGATCCCATGGCCCGAATTACGCTTGTTTGTTTGTTGTGTGTGTTGTTTGCGGTTGTTGTCGCCGCCCCTTCGTGACCCACCCCCGACCCACCCTGTGCCGCCCCTTCACTCTTATCCGCAATTGCGGGGTACTATGCTCATGCCTCAGTTTCCTCGTTTCCCACGTGCTCCCTTCCTGCGCCTCTTCCTCTCTTCTTGGGGCTCTCCGTGTCGCACCAGTGCCTCCGCCTCCGCACCCCGCGGAGGTTGGCTTGCGGGGGATACAAGGATTGGCTCAATTCTCCTCTGGCCTGGTCTGCTCGGGCCTCAGGGGTAGCGTGAGGGAGAGATGGTTCGGCTCGGGGCCTGGGGGGAATGCATCAACCCCCAATCGCCCATTCATCGCCGATAGGGGTCCGATAGCCCTTCCCCGCCCAGGAACTTGCGGATCTGCCATCGGGGGCCCATCGCCGATCTACCGGCGAATGGCTCCCCCCCTGAGCTGGTCCCCCCTTACCGTTGCCCCTCGGGGCCTCTCCCACTGTAAGGTCGGTTTGGTCGTGCGTGGACTTGTCTGGTCTGGTGGATTGTTGTGTCCATGCCTGGGATATAAGATGATGCAGTACAGCATTATACGGGCTAGTGGGGCTTAGTGGAATATGGATGGGCCCGCTGTGACCGAATACTGATAAGAAGAGTGAGGGAAACACTATTTGGGAGGAGCGGGCGACAGAGCTGTACCACAACGAAGGTAGCATTGCGCCATAATTGACATGCTCTCGCTGACATCTCAGGGTCATATGTAATCGGCGGTCTTGGCAGGACACTCTCATGCAATATTGGAGACCTCTCGTGGATGCGGGCTTCTGGCGCGGGCTCTGGGGGTCGCTGGAGTCGCCTCCTGGGGACCTCTTGGGATCCTCCTCCGCCGTCTTAGCTGTGGGAGCTTTTCGGGAAGGTGTACTCCTTCAAGCGCCTCTGGGGAGGAGCGCCCGAGTTGCCTCCTGGTCCACTGGCGGCTCTTCTTCCCCGCCAGAGGCAAACGGTGCGTGCGTGCTCCCAAGCCGTCGACATGGGGCGCGAAGCTGACTGCGCCCCACACCTCGCGGCCTGGGCCGGAGGGCCCATCTTCCCCCCGGAGCGGCGCGAAGATGAGAGCGTTCTCCGCGCGGCGTGCGGCGCGACGCAAGGAGCAGGGCCGATCTCGGCCCCCACGGAGGCCCCGGAGGTCTGGAGCTCTCCCGCAGAGAGTCTCGGAAAGAGAGTGAGGTCCTCCGCGGAGGCCTCCGGAGGCCCACCAGGGGCAGCGAGCGCCAGCAAGCGCCCACAGCCTCGACCCCTCGGAGCCTCCAGCCTCGAGGAGGGGCAGTAGGGCGGTACGCCCACCGCCTCGGGCCCTCGACCTCCAGGAGGCCCCACGAGGGACAGGATGCCCCACGAGGGACCGCAACGCCCCTCGGACCATCGAGCCTCGGGGAGATCCTGCGGCGACCTGGGCTGCGCCCGACTGCGGTGCGGTGGAGGAGGAGGAGGAAGAGGAGGCGGAGGAGGCGGAGGCAAGACCTCCGCCGCGAAGGCCTCCAAGGACGAGCTTCGAGGGCGCCGCTGTGGGCGCGGTGTGCGGCGGCCAGAGTCTCGAGCACCGTGCGGCCTGCCCGATCGCAGGGCACAGCGTGTCTTTCGGAGGTCCACGCAACAATTGATGCCAGGTTCGCGCCACGTTGACGCGGCGGCGGCCCCAGCGCGGGCGTTCAAGGTTGAACGCCGCCAGTGGCCCAGAATCGCGAGATCAATCGAGCGATCTGCGCTTGTATCAGACAGCCGCGATCGGTCGGAGCTGAACGATCCACACGGTATCAGAAGCCAACGCCGACGTCATCGCGACGTGACATTGCCGTACTTGATCTGCGCTTGTTTGCAGCCCCAACGGCCTCTGGCCCGAGCGCAGGGCGGGACCCGGGCGCAGCCTCGCGCGGTGGGCAGCCTCGCGCGGCCGGGTCCGCGCCTTCCGATGGCGGCCAAGGCGCCTCCCCGCACTGCGCGCTTCCCCCGCCCGCGACCACTCTCGGAGGAGGGAGAGGTACAGCTGGGGCATTCCAGATAGCGACCCGCCTTCGAGGCTCGACGGAGTTGGAATCTTCCCTGGCGGGAGGCTGGCGGAAGGCGGCGCAAGTAACAGTCGGCTTCCCAAGAGACGGCACGTTTTTGTTGGTTCTGGGTTGTTTTTGCTCCAGGGGGTTTGGTTCGAGTGTACTCCACATTGCGTAATACAAGAAAGAGGGTCACAACCCTCCGAGACGAGCAATTTCAGAACCCCCCCACAAGACCAGCAATGGGAGGGCGGCCTGTTGCCCAGACCCCCTGGAACCCTCCAAGACAGCTCAAGTCAGACCCCCACCACAAATTAGACAAATCCCTTCCCTGGTAAACTGGTCCATTTCCCGGTGAACTGGTCCACTCCGCTGTTGTAGGTTCAGAAGATGTTGAAGATTTCGAAGTTGCAGAACCTTTCCTCCAGCGCTCCTTAGCAGCTTTTTAAGGCGCTCTTTGGACGTGCACGACAAATCTGCGAGTCACGTATGCAACTTTTTGATTAACCTCAGAGCCCCAGGGGAAAGTTTGAATATTGTTATACTGGCGGTGCGAGAGAACTTGCACGTGCGTGCATCGAGCTAACAATTGCACATGACCCTACCATCCTTGGCAACAAGAAGCTTATGGCTGTTGCCGAACGATCCAACGGAATTGTTCAGATGGGGGCCCGAGCACTGCTAATGCAGGCCGGCCTTCCCCCACCTTTTTGGACAGATGCTGTCCGATACTTCTGTCTTTGCTATAACGCAAGGATCCCTGACGAAGGCGAATCGCCATGGAAGCGCACATTCGGACACGAGTTTGCGGCACTTCAACTCTGACACGTGGGTTCGCTTCCAGAATACATGCGGTGGCATAAGGAGTGCCACTTTGTTCTTGCACTTGTCTTGAACCGCTCTCTAGATTGTTCCCTATTGTGGGCTTCTCTTCCATCGGTTGGCATTCGGACCAGGTTGCTTTTCGCGCGGACTGGGATTGGTACCAGTAGGTTGGGATTGGGACCAGTCGGTTGGGAGTGGGCCGACATGTGGCGGTCACCCCACGGGGGGGGCCCGCCGAGCACGGACAAGGCCGCGGTCCGCCCAAGACAATCCGCAGGCGCACGCGCCTGGCGCCCGCTGTCCAGCAGGCGCCGGCGACGCCGCGCCATGCGCGATGCGCGACAGGCGCTGGCGCGGCCAGCTGCGGGGCAACAGTGACATGAGGCAGACGATGCCGGCGCCAGCCCTCGCAGCCTCTTCCCGCCCCCACGCAACGCTGCCCCACCGAGGCTGGGTGCACTGCAAAACGGCTCTGCCCGAGAGGACGCCGTGGAGCTCCATGGCGATTTGCTGAAAGGGGCGGCGGATGTCCGCTTTGCGCGGCGAAAGGATGCCAGACGCGGCGGGCGCATTTCATGGCAAATCACCGTCGTCATCATTTGACCGTTGCTGTCTCCTCCTGCTCCTCCTCCTCCTCCGCCTCGAGCCTCGCTGCGCAGGCTCGAGCTTTCTTTCGTTTGTGCTCACTGCTGGCAGAGACAGTTTTGTTGTTTGCTGTACACGCTAGGCTCTCTGGGTCACCAGGGATGCGCAAGCTCCTTCTCTCTCGTTCTCTTTTTCTGTTTCTGCCCTTGCTCTGCTCTCTCTTTTGATTCGTCGTTCTCTATTTGTTTGTCTCTCTCTCTCTCTCCCTCTCTCTCTCATTACATGTCTATTTCTCTTTTTTATTTCTCTCTCTCTCTCTCTCTATATCTCTCTTTCTCCCGTGTGTTTGTTGTATAGGTGTTGTGTCTTTCTCTCTCTCTCTCTTTCTCTCTCTCTCTCTCTCTCTCTCTTTTTCTCTCTCTCTCTCTCTCTCTCTCTGTGTTTCGCTATCTTTCTCTCTCTCTCTCTCTCTTTCTCTCTCTCTCTCTCTCTCTATCTCTCTTTCTCTCTCTCTCTCTTACTCTCTCTCTCTCTCTCTTTTCTGTCGGGTCATACTGCCCACCCCTTTTTCGGGTGCCATGAAAGGCCCAGCCCGCCCTGCGCTTGACAGGTTGCCGCCAGCGCGCGCACAATGTCGCGGTGGCGGAGGCCCGCTTCACGTGGCGGAATGACGCCAGACGCGGTGAGCGCATGTCATGGCAAATGATTACCGTCATTCTCTGCCCGCTGCCGCCTCCTGCTTCTCCTCCGCCTCCTCCTCCTCCTCCTTCTCCTCCTCCTCCTCCTCCTCTTCCTCCTCCTCCTCCTCCTCCCTCTCGAGCCTGATTGCACAGACTCGAGTTTTCTTTCCTTCGCGCTCATTGCTGACAGAGATAGCCGTGCGTCGGTAAGTGTATGGATGAGCCGGCGGGCCTTGCGGATGGGAACTCTTGGAAATCGTAAAATATTGCGGGGCATACCCCTTTAAAATAGTTATGGTGTCGTTCTTTCCTCATGCCTTTTGCATGGGATGTCGAGCTCGAAATTATTGAGCGGCTGATTGATGCCGCTCGGCGGCGTTGTTGATGGGACTCCTGTATCTTCCTTCGCCGTGCACCAAAACAACCGAACAGGAGACGTGCTCTCTGGATGCTGGATCTGGCTACCGCCCTCGGTTTGATTAGCCGTTGTGTTTTGAAGCCCCAAGATCCAACAATATGCACTTCACGTGTTTGGGGTCAGTTGGGCTACATGGTGGCTTGTGATTCATCCCTTTTTCGGGGTCCGCTTGTCGAGTTCCTTGGGGTCGACTTTGTCCGTGTTGGTCGTGGCCAGGATTTTTGCCCCTGGGCGCCGTTTGTTGCCGATCTTGTTGTCGTCGTTGATCGTCTCGTCCGCCTGCCTCGAGTTGTAGTCACTCCGGTACGGAAGCGGCAGGAAGGGGGAGGAGCAGGATGAAGGAAACAGAGGAGGAGGAGGAAGAGAAGGACGAGGACGAGGACGAGGACGAACAGCAGCAGCGAGACTGGAGTGGAAGGGGCGGGAGGAGCAGGAGGACCAGGAGATGGCGGAGGAGGGGAAAAGAGGGGGGCGACAACAATGAGGAAGGAACCAGACTCAGGAAAGCGGCCCACGCTGGGGCGAGAGCATCATGTTGAACGACAGGAGCAGCGCAACGATACGAAAATGAGGTCAATGTTGCAGCGGGAACGCCGCTTTGAATGACTGATAACAATCGGATTGTGAACACAAATTCTGGAAAGACCAATGTTTGAAATCGCGCGCGTCAAGGACAATACGCGGAGATGGTCGACTATTTTTTGGACAGCGTCCGGGGAGAGAAGAGAGGAGGGGAGATGGCAAGCTAGGGGCTTCCGCGCCATCTCTAACGTCCGATCCGTCCCTCACATACCTTCCCATTGCGGCGATGTTCTGTTTACGCGGACTCGTGCGCGGACACATGTCATAGCGGACCTGGATATCCCGAAAAGCCGCCACGCTGCTATGCGCTATCCGATGACGGGAGCTGCGTACATGGGAGGAGGAGACGGGGTGGGTGAACAAGAGGACGTGCAGGAGGAACAGGAAGAAGGAGGAGGAGGAGGACGAACAGCAGCAGCGGAAATTGGAGTGCAAGGAGCGGCAGGTGCAGGAAGACGACGGGAAGGCGAAGGAATTGAGCAGGAGGAAAGGGGGGAGGATGAGGAAGGAGAAGGAGGACGAGGACGAATAGCAGCAGTGGGAACTGGAGTGGAGGGGGGGCGACAACGAGGAGGAAAGACTCGGATCCAGAAAAATGGTCTGCGTTGGGGGAAGAGCGCCATTCTGAACGACGGGAGCAGCGCGCCGATCCGAAAATGAGGCTAACGCTGCAGCGGCAGCACCATTTTGAAACACAGAACGCAATCCGTCCGTTAAAACAAATAGTAAGGTCCATGGATGCCCAATGTTGTGCCTAAAACCAAACTCGGAGAGGGCGGAGCGTCTTCCGAACAGAGTCAGGGGCGAGAGGAGAGCATTCGCAATTTGAAAGTGTAAGCGAGGAGGGAAGGGGAGAGGGCGAAGCGAAGCGAACGCGTGAGTCGTGCGTGCTCCACTGGGGAGCTCGCCCGTAACCGTTCGGGTACGGCGTGAAGGCCTTAGCCTCGACAAGGAAGAATTTCTGTTCAAGCTCGAGAAACAGATTACCGCTCATGTGATGACCACCACTCTGTACACCCAGCGGCCTGGACCCATCGTAGATAGTTCGTGTGGTTGTGTTCGTAATGTCATGGTTGGATGGCTGCCCTGACATGTTCACTGCGTTTCGCTGTCCAAGCTGTGCAGGAAGTTCCAGATGTCGTCGTCTCACCGCGTTGGTTGTCCCCCGTGTTGTTTGTTCGTCCGCGCTGACGCGCATTACGAATCTGGTTACATTCAAGCGCTCTTTGGGTCCAGCGTGTCGTAGGGTGGTGATTCACCGCGTTCGCCCATCGCCACACCATTCCACGATGCATCTGCACGACATTTATATTTATATATATATATATATACCTGTATATACACATACATACACACATACATATAACAATGACTAAATACATACAAAATTGTGTACATATTTGGTATGTCGTGTATCAGCATGAGTGATTCCGCCTCCGCGGGCTTCTGCGGATGACGTCGGAGCAACTCCAGGTCGTCATCCCGCCTGTTGCCCGGCTGCGTGGGGAGAGGAGGTGAGGGGAGTGGAGGGGGCGGGGAAGGCAGCTCGCCTCCCGACACACGACCCTCCCAGCAGGTGTGCGCTTGGGCAACGTGGGCGGAGTGGAGCGCCGTCCACCGCCAGCTCGCGTCCCCGCTCGGTTCCGAGAGGTCGGGGCGGCCAGGACAAGAGGGACGGTGATGTTCGGGCGGGCTACTCAAGTCACCGCCCTTACTGAATTGTGGATGTTGTGTTTGGACCGAGGTTCGAGGTTTGGGGGTTTTCAGGATCGAGGTTCCGGGCTCCTCACACCACCCCCTTCATGCTGAAGTTTGGATGGTGTTGTTGGATCGCGTTTCGAATCGAGGATCGAGGTATTAGAAGTTTGAACGTGCAGTCTCTTTGTCGTTGGGGCGTCTTCGGGGACCTCCATAGGCCTGTGGTGGTGTCCTCCAGGGACGCCTCCCTGGAGGGCAGAGGCAGGTGCGGGAGGGGGGAGGCGGATCGGGAAAGGGGGAGGGAGAGGGGAGATGGCCGACATCCTACCCTCCCACCCATCCATTCGCATTGTGCTGAGTTGTTCTCTACCTGCCGACGCGTGTCGTAGCGGACCTGGAACTACCAAGAGGACTCCATTGTGTTATGCGCATCCGGACAAGTGCTTCGTACATTGGAGGAGGAGGCGGCGGATGAGCAGAAGGATTAGCAGGATGAAAGGGAGGATGAGGAAGGAGGAGGACGTGGACGAACAGCAGCAGTAGGAGCTGGAGTGGAGGGAGCGGAGGAGCAGGAGGACCAGAGGAAGGCCGAGGAGGGGAAAGGAGGGCGGCGACCATGGAAAAAAGGATCCAGAAAAGTGGCCCGCGCTGGGGCGCCAGCGCCATTGTGAACGAGGGGGGCAAAGCGCCGAACCGAAAATGAGGCCCACGCTGCAGCGGGAGCACCAGTTTGAAGGACTGGAAGCAATCGGAGTGTAACAAATCCGCCGATCCGGCGTGTGAGTTTCCAAAGGCTACAACCTGAGCTTCAGCTCTGCGGGGGGGGGCCGGGGGGGCTTTGCCGGAAAGGGGGGCCGGGGGGGGAGGGTCTACCCTTTCGGGGGAGGGGCTCTTTCGGGCCCAGGAGAGCCCCAACACGGGCCAAGAGGACCCCAGTTGGCTCCGAAGACGGCCCCGAAGGGCCCCGAGTCGTCAAACGATCGGTCCAAGACGCCAGAGCTGGCCTCCATACCGCTCAAGGGGCTTCCAAGACGCCCGAAAAAACTTCCAAGAGGGCTCCCAAGAGGGCCCCAAGAGCATTGTGGCTGCAGCCCGGGGGGGCTATTCGATCTGGCCGATCAGCCGATCAGACGCAGACCAGCCGATCAGCCGATCAGCCGATCAGCCGATAAGAGTGATCGGCTGATCGGCTGATCGGCTGGTCGATCGCTTATCGGCTGATCGGCTGATCGGCTGGTCGATCGCTTATCGGCTGATCGGCTTATCGGCTGGTCGACCGCTGATCGGCTGGTCGACCGCTTATCGGCTGATCGGCTTATCGGCTGGTCGACCGCTGGTCGGCTGATCGGCTGCAGGACCGCTTTTCGGTTGTTCGGCTGATCGGCTGGTCGATCATTTATCGGCTCATCGGCTGACCGACCCCCTCGTCCTCCTTCTCCTCCTCTTACTCTTCCTCCTCCTCCGCCTCCTCCTCCGCCTCCTCCTCCTCCTCCATCCCCCTCCCCTCGCTGCTGCTCCTCCCTCCTCCTCTTCCTCGTGGAAGATCGGCCAGCGTTTTCGGTCGAGGCCGACCCGTGGGCACGATCAGTGCGGATTGTTTTCACCTTCGGCTCTCCTCCTGTCCCCCCTCCTCTGCCCCACAATAGTTCCGTCTCTCTCTCTCTCTCTTCTCCTTCTCCTCCTCCTCCTCCTCCTCCTCCTCCTCCTCCTCCCCCTCCTCGTCGTCCTCCTCCTACTCCTCTTTCTCCTCCTCCTCCTCTTCATGTTCCTCCTCCTCCTCCCTCTGCCTCCTCCTTTTCCTCAGCTGCCTCCCCCTTTTCTTCCTCCTCCTCTGCCTCAGTTGCCTCCTCCTCCTCCTCCTCCTCCTCCTCCTCCTCCTCCTCCTCCCCCTCGTTCCCCCCCCCCCTTCGTGTTCTCGCCTTCTCCCTCCTCCTCCGTCTCTCCTCCTGCTTGCATTTCTGCACGCCTCCTCTTTCGTTTACTTCTGCTCACCCTCCTCCTCATGTTTTCATGTCTCATCATATTCGTCCTTCTCGTTCTCTTCCTCCTCCTCCTCCTCCTCCTCCTCCTCCCTATCATCTTCGCATTCGTCCAGTTCATCTTCCCCCCTTCCTCATCATCATCATCATCATCATCATCATCATCATCGTCATCATCATCATCATCTTCACCCCTCATCGCCCTCCCAAGCCTTACCTCAGGAGTTTGGCCCAAATGGTGCTTAATCGAGTGAGGTGCTGTCCCCATCGGGGCGGGGATGGCCCAGACAGTAAACACCAAACACGTTGCGTGGACGCCGATGGGAATCCATGCTGTCGTGCTCATGGAGGGCATGAGCTTCCAGGACATGGGTGTGAACATGCCGTAGAGCACGCCCAGGTAATTTTGTTTTTCCCAACCATCCTGTGGTGTTGGGTCTTCGTTTTGAAGAGACGGTGCCCGCGCGTTCCTCCCTCCTTCTCTCCCGCTGCCCCCTCCCCCTCCGTGGCCCCATAGGGAGCTCCCCTTGCGCTCTGCCCTCCGCATGTCCCTGTTTCGCGCACATCCCTCACGCGTTCCGTGGCCCCATAGGGAGCTCCACCGAAGGCCCCAGTGGCAGGGTCCGCATGGCGGCCCCGCATTTTGGCGCACCCCTCACACGGTCCGTGGCCCCATAGGGAGCTCCACCGAAGGCCCCAGTGGCAGGGTCCGCATGGCGGCCCCGCATTTTGGCGCACCCCTCACACGGTTCGTGGCCCCATAGGGAGCTCCACCGAAGGCCCCAGTAGCAGGGTCCGCATGGCGGCCCCGCATTGGGGCGCACCCCTCACACGGTTCGTGGCCCCATAGGGAGCTCCACCGAAGGCCCCAGTGGCAGGGTCCGCATGGCGGCCCCGCATTTTGGCGCACCCCTCACACGGTTCGTGGCCCCATAGGAGCTCCACCGAAGGCCCCAGTGGCAGGGTCCGCATGGCGGCCCCGCATTTGGCCCGCCCCTCACACGGTTCGTGGCCCCATAGGGAGCTCCACCGAAGGCCCCAGTGGCAGGGTCCGCATGGCGGCCCCGCATTGGGGCGCACCCCTCACACGGTTCGTGGCCCCATAGGGAGCTCCACCGAAGGCCCCAGTGGCAGGGTCCGCATGGCGGCCCCGCATTTTGGCGCACCCCTCACACGGTTCGTGGCCCCATAGGGAGCTCCACCGAAGGCCCCAGTGGCAGGGTCCGCATGGCGGCCCCGCCCCATTTTGGCGCACCCCTCACACGGTTCGTGGCCCCATAGGGAGCTCCACCGAAGGCCCCAGTGGCAGGGTCCGCATGGCGGCCCCGCCCCATTAAGGCGCACCCCTCACACGGTTCGTGGCCCCATAGGGAGCTCCACCGAAGGCCCCAGTGGCAGGGTCCGCATGGCGGCCCCGCCCCATTTTGACGCACCCCTCACACGGTTCGTGGCCCCATAGGGAGCTCCACCGAAGATGATGCCCACAATTGCGGTATTAACAATTGCTTATGGTTGGGTCTTTCGCCAGGCTAATTCTTTTTTCAACCCCTTGCTTTGTTCCACCCATGTTTTCCACAGCTTGTTTTGGTTTTCAGCGGCGCCGCGTGCAGGACGCAGGCTTGACGGACTTCGCAGAGGGCCGATGAACATCCGCGAGCGCGTCTCGGAGCTGGCCGCTTACGCCAACGCCGCAGCGATCAGCGCGGTGGAGAAAATTCACGGGGCAGCCGCCGCCGAGGCCTTCTTGGAGAAGGTGTGCGTGGACCCGGCCGTGTTGCAGTTACTCCAGGACGTGGTGAAATGGAAAAGGGGGTTCAGTTGTTTTGGGCGCGGTGTTTAGCTGGATTTCTGTGCCGAGTGTGCCCTTTGCGCTCAGAGTGGTGGTGGCATGAAACACAGTGTTGTCTTCCAGCGCCACGTAAAGAATTTGGGGTGCTTTTCTGTGTTTTCTGGCAGGACCCGCAGTGGTCAGACCACGCGCGTGGGGAATGGAACTATCAGGTGAACAACACTGACATGTATTTGTTCAGTGAGTTCATTGGTGCACGCTTGGAGGTGCAGCTACTCGCTGTGTGGTTGGCGCGGTTGTGGTTCAACTGCGACGGCGGGGTCGGGCGCGTCCAGACGACGTATCGCGAGGAGCCGGGCGGTGACATGGCGGAGGGTCGCGGCTTGGACGTCGTTGCCTTTCAGCGCGCGTCTAAACAGTGCGCAGTGGTGCAGGCGTACCCGCGGTACCAGTACCATCTGTTCACAGCAGAGGCGAAGCGTGTGGGCGCGCGCTTGGGCAAGGAAGCCGACGGCGAGGGCCAGTTGCGCATGCTGGGTAAGATGCTGGACTCGCTATTGCGCTTTCGTGCTTATTCGCGCGCTGCCAGGGCGCTGGAGGCAAGGTACCTACTATTAGTACCTACTACTAGTACCTACCACTCGTACTCACCACTAGTACCTACTACTAGTACATACTACTACTAGTACCTACTACTAGTAGTTCCTACTACTAGTACCTACTACTAGTACCTACTACTAGTACCTACTACTAGTACCTGCCAATAGTCGTACCTACTACTAGTACCTACTACTACTAGTACCTACTACTAGTACCTACTACTACTAGTACCTACTACTACTAGTACGTACTACTAGTATTACCTACTACTAGTACCTACTACTAGTACCCACTACTGGTACCTACTACTACTACTAGTACCTACTACTAGTAGTACCTACTACTAGCACCTACGACTTGTACCTACTACTAGTACCTTCTACTAGTATCTACTACTAGTACAGGCTACTAGTACCTACTACGAATACCTACTACTAGTACCTACTACTAGTACCTACGACTTGTACTTACTACTAGTACCTACTACTGGTACCTACTACGAGTACCTACTACTAGTATCCACTACTCGTACCTACTACTATTACCTACTACTAGTACCTACTATCAGTACTACTGCTACTAGT